GAAGAGTCGGCCGATGCTGTCGATGGAAAGGGTGTGACGGTTACCTAACAGAATTAAATTTAGAGAGCATTTCTTCCACTCACAATATCGATTCGACCAAAAGGAAATTTTAAATTGAGAAAATAAGGAGAAGCAGGAAGAGTCGGCCGATGCTGTCGATGGAAAGGGTGTGACGGTTACCTAACAGAATTAAATTTAGAGCATTTCTTCCACTCACAATATCGATTCGACCAAAAGGAAATTTTAAATTGAGAAAATAAGGAGAAGCAGGAAGAGTCGGCCGATGCTGTCGATGGAAAGGGTGTGACGGTTACCTAACAGAATTAAATTTAGAGAGCATTTCTTCCACTCACAATATCGATTCGACCAAAAGGAAATTTTAAATTGAGAAAATAAGGAGAAGCAGGAAGAGTCGGCCGATGCTGTCGATGGAAAGGGTGTGACGGTTACCTAACAGAATTAAATTTAGAGAGCATTTCTTCCACTCACAATATCGATTCGACCAAAAGGAAATTTTAAATTGAGAAAATAAGGAGAAGCAGGAAGAGTCGGCCGATGCTGTCGATGGAAAGGGTGTGACGGTTACCTAACAGAATTAAATTTAGAGAGCATTTCTTCCACTCACAATATCGATTCGACCAAAAGGAAATTTTTAAATTGAGAAAATAAGGAGAAGCAGGAAGAGTCGGCCGATGCTGTCGATGGAAAGGGTGTGACGGTTACCTAACAGAATTAAATTTAGAGAGCATTTCTTCCACTCACAATATCGATTCGACCAAAAGGAAATTTTAAATTGAGAAAAATAAGGAGAAGCAGGAAGAGTCGGCCGATGCTGTCGATGGAAAAGGGTGTGACGGTTACCTAACAGAATTAAATTTAGAGAGCATTTCTTCCACTCACAATATCGATTCGACCAAAAGGAAATTTTTAAATTGAGAAAATAAGGAGAAGCAGGAAGAGTCGGCCGATGCTGTCGATGGAAAGGGTGTGACGGTTACCTAACAGAATTAAATTTAGAGAGCATTTCTTCCACTCACAATATCGATTCGACCAAAAAGGAAATTTTTAAATTGAGAAAAATAAGGAGAAGCAGGAAGAGTCGGCCGATGCTGTCGATGGAAAGGGTGTGACGGTTACCTAACAGAATTAAATTTAGAGAGCATTTCTTCCACTCACAATATCGATTCGACCAAAAGGAAATTTTAAATTGAGAAAATAAGGAGAAGCAGGAAGAGTCGGCCGATGCTGTCGATGGAAAGGGTGTGACGGTTACCTAACAGAATTAAATTTAGAGAGCATTTCTTCCACTCACAATATCGATTCGACCAAAAGGAAATTTTAAATTGAGAAAATAAGGAGAAGCAGGAAGAGTCGGCCGATGCTGTCGATGGAAAGGGTGTGACGGTTACCTAACAGAATTAAATTTAGAGAGCATTTCTTCCACTCACAATATCGATTCGACCAAAAGGAAATTTTAAATTGAGAAAATAAGGAGAAGCAGGAAGAGTCGGCCGATGCTGTCGATGGAAAGGGTGTGACGGTTACCTAACAGAATTAAATTTAGAGAGCATTTCTTCCACTCACAATATCGATTCGACCAAAAGGAAATTTTAAATTGAGAAAATAAGGAGAAGCAGGAAGAGTCGGCCGATGCTGTCGATGGAAAGGGTGTGACGGTTACCTAACAGAATTAAATTTAGAGAGCATTTCTTCCACTCACAATATCGATTCGACCAAAAGGAAATTTTAAATTGAGAAAATAAGGAGAAGCAGGAAGAGTCGGCCGATGCTGTCGATGGAAAGGGTGTGACGGTTACCTAACAGAATTAAATTTAGAGAGCATTTCTTCCACTCACAATATCGATTCGACCAAAAGGAAATTTTAAATTGAGAAAATAAGGAGAAGCAGGAAGAGTCGGCCGATGCTGTCGATGGAAAGGGTGTGACGGTTACCTAACAGAATTAAATTTAGAGAGCATTTCTTCCACTCACAATATCGATTCGACCAAAAGGAAATTTTAAATTGAGAAAATAAGGAGAAGCAGGAAGAGTCGGCCGATGCTGTCGATGGAAAGGGTGTGACGGTTACCTAACAGAATTAAATTTAGAGAGCATTTCTTCCACTCACAATATCGATTCGACCAAAAGGAAATTTTTAAATTGAGAAAATAAGGAGAAGCAGGAAGAGTCGGCCGATGCTGTCGATGGAAAGGGTGTGACGGTTACCTAACAGAATTAAATTTAGAGAGCATTTCTTCCACTCACAATATCGATTCGACCAAAAAGGAAATTTTTAAATTGAGAAAAATAAGGAGAAGCAGGAAGAGTCGGCCGATGCTGTCGATGGAAAGGGTGTGACGGTTACCTAACAGAATTAAATTTAGAGAGCATTTCTTCCACTCACAATATCGATTCGACCAAAAAGGAAATTTTTAAATTGAGAAAATAAGGAGAAGCAGGAAGAGTCGGCCGATGCTGTCGATGGAAAGGGTGTGACGGTTACCTAACAGAATTAAATTTAGAGAGCATTTCTTCCACTCACAATATCGATTCGACCAAAAGGAAATTTTTAAATTGAGAAAAATAAGGAGAAGCAGGAAGAGTCGGCCGATGCTGTCGATGGAAAGGGTGTGACGGTTACCTAACAGAATTAAATTTAGAGAGCATTTCTTCCACTCACAATATCGATTCGACCAAAAGGAAATTTTTAAATTGAGAAAATAAGGAGAAGCAGGAAGAGTCGGCCGATGCTGTCGATGGAAAGGGTGTGACGGTTACCTAACAGAATTAAATTTAGAGAGCATTTCTTCCACTCACAATATCGATTCGACCAAAAAGGAAATTTTTAAATTGAGAAAATAAGGAGAAGCAGGAAGAGTCGGCCGATGCTGTCGATGGAAAGGGTGTGACGGTTACCTAACAGAATTAAATTTAGAGAGCATTTCTTCCACTCACAATATCGATTCGACCAAAAGGAAATTTTTAAATTGAGAAAAATAAGGAGAAGCAGGAAGAGTCGGCCGATGCTGTCGATGGAAAGGGTGTGACGGTTACCTAACAGAATTAAATTTAGAGAGCATTTCTTCCACTCACAATATCGATTCGACCAAAAAGGAAATTTTTAAATTGAGAAAATAAGGAGAAGCAGGAAGAGTCGGCCGATGCTGTCGATGGAAAGGGTGTGACGGTTACCTAACAGAATTAAATTTAGAGAGCATTTCTTCCACTCACAATATCGATTCGACCAAAAGGAAATTTTAAATTGAGAAAATAAGGAGAAGCAGGAAGAGTCGGCCGATGCTGTCGATGGAAAGGGTGTGACGGTTACCTAACAGAATTAAATTTAGAGAGCATTTCTTCCACTCACAATATCGATTCGACCAAAAGGAAATTTTAAATTGAGAAAATAAGGAGAAGCAGGAAGAGTCGGCCGATGCTGTCGATGGAAAGGGTGTGACGGTTACCTAACAGAATTAAATTTAGAGAGCATTTCTTCCACTCACAATATCGATTCGACCAAAAGGAAATTTTAAATTGAGAAAATAAGGAGAAGCAGGAAGAGTCGGCCGATGCTGTCGATGGAAAGGGTGTGACGGTTACCTAACAGAATTAAATTTAGAGAGCATTTCTTCCACTCACAATATCGATTCGACCAAAAGGAAATTTTAAATTGAGAAAATAAGGAGAAGCAGGAAGAGTCGGCCGATGCTGTCGATGGAAAGGGTGTGACGGTTACCTAACAGAATTAAATTTAGAGAGCATTTCTTCCACTCACAATATCGATTCGACCAAAAGGAAATTTTAAATTGAGAAAATAAGGAGAAGCAGGAAGAGTCGGCCGATGCTGTCGATGGAAAGGGTGTGACGGTTACCTAACAGAATTAAATTTAGAGAGCATTTCTTCCACTCACAATATCGATTCGACCAAAAGGAAATTTTTAAATTGAGAAAATAAGGAGAAGCAGGAAGAGTCGGCCGATGCTGTCGATGGAAAGGGTGTGACGGTTACCTAACAGAATTAAATTTAGAGAGCATTTCTTCCACTCACAATATCGATTCGACCAAAAGGAAATTTTTAAATTGAGAAAAATAAGGAGAAGCAGGAAGAGTCGGCCGATGCTGTCGATGGAAAGGGTGTGACGGTTACCTAACAGAATTAAATTTAGAGAGCATTTCTTCCACTCACAATATCGATTCGACCAAAAAGGAAATTTTAAATTGAGAAAATAAGGAGAAGCAGGAAGAGTCGGCCGATGCTGTCGATGGAAAGGGTGTGACGGTTACCTAACAGAATTAAATTTAGAGAGCATTTCTTCCACTCACAATATCGATTCGACCAAAAGGAAATTTTAAATTGAGAAAAATAAGGAGAAGCAGGAAGAGTCGGCCGATGCTGTCGATGGAAAGGGTGTGACGGTTACCTAACAGAATTAAATTTAGAGAGCATTTCTTCCACTCACAATATCGATTCGACCAAAAGGAAATTTTTAAATTGAGAAAATAAGGAGAAGCAGGAAGAGTCGGCCGATGCTGTCGATGGAAAGGGTGTGACGGTTACCTAACAGAATTAAATTTAGAGAGCATTTCTTCCACTCACAATATCGATTCGACCAAAAGGAAATTTTTAAATTGAGAAAATAAGGAGAAGCAGGAAGAGTCGGCCGATGCTGTCGATGGAAAGGGTGTGACGGTTACCTAACAGAATTAAATTTAGAGAGCATT